GGTAAGACACTACATAACACTTTGCTTCACCTCCATTTTTCCTTGTCTTTTGTAAAAAGCAAACTATTTTTAATATGTTCATATATATATATATATATTTGTTCCAAAATCGTTTTCTCTTATATGCTTGCTCATAAGTGTATATTTCTAATTTTTCAAAAAACTCATTCCGCGAAAATCGTTTTTATGCTATTGTATGTTTACAAAACGCGTGTATATGAGTTTATTTTCCTTTTTCGCCTTTTCCTGTCTCACTACACAGGTGCGAGTTTAATTCGACATGCAATTACTTATCCTTTTTCTTTTTCAGTACGGTTGGAAAAGATGAAAATGGCGACAAAGTTTACAATGAATCGAAATTTTCATTGTACCTGTTTTTCATTAATATATTGTACCACATGGCCTTTTATAATAAGGAGAGACGACCAGATGCTGCTGAACATAGCAAGCGATCAGAAGAGTGTTTACCAACGACAAACTCATTGTGTTTAAACTTCTGGCTGGCCACGCCAAAGGATCATTACTACCTCACCATGGGGGTGACCTCCGAAATCAATGGCTCCGTAGGTCTTTGAAATTTGATGCTGGCCACTTTAGTTTTAATGGACCCATTTGCCCGAAGGCGCTCGTTCACGCATACGAACGAGATCAACTTCTCCCTCAATCGCTAGGCAGCTTAGATCAGTCACACCTCGATATATTGATAGCGTATCAAATATATCTTCGAACATCTACGCTCCTGGCTTTTTATTTCACTGGGTGAGCACGATTCAACTATGGGTGTGATTGTTTAAAATGTTGTCAAAATCTAAATTCTTGTGACATCTTCACATGCAGCGGCGAAACCGAGAGATACAAACTCAAGAAACACTAACATTAAGAAGAATCGAAAACGCAAAAGCAATTATTGGACCCCGGTAGCTGTACCGTGCTTCTACGTATGCCTCTCTTCCAGAAGGGCCTACCGGCTTCACCAACTTCGCTTGGCCGGAAAAGCCATGATTCAAGTTAATTGAGAATACTTTTTGATGACAAACTAACGATTTGATGTCTCAGATTCAGATTCAGATTTGTTTAGTAAGGAGAGAAGGCCTACGGCCTATGTTATTCCTTTTCTTGTATGCTTCTGTGAGTGTCCAGTCTTCTCTTGAAAGAGTCAATTGAAGGTGCGGACACCACTGCTTCAGGCAGCAGGTTCCAAGTATTGATGACTCGGTGTGAAAACCTGTATGCCACGGGTATTTTGTTCGTTCTTGGCTTTTCTACTCGCCTGCTATGTCCTCTGAGGTGTCCCGATCTAGTGGGAAGAAAGAGAGAGAATAAGTTAGGTCCGAAATCATTTCTCAGTATTCTGTACATCAATATTAGATCTCCCCTTAGTCTGCGATAGGACAGAGTAAAGAGGTTCAGTTTTTCAAGCCGCTCTTTATATGATAAACCCGGAGTTCCGGAATTGCACGCGTAGCTGCCCTCTGTACCTTTTCTATTATGTCTGAGTCACCTTTTAAACAGGGGCTTGCAGCCTGAACACAGTTCTCTAAGTTAGTTTTCACTAAGGACGTGTATAATGTAGTGAACATGGTAGTATCAAGCTTAGTGAATGTCCTTTTTAAAGCCCAGAGGGTTCGAAACCCCTTAACTGCGACCTCCCGGCAATGGGCCGTCGTCTTAAGATCATTACTCACTGTCACCCCTAGGTCCTTATGAGACCGGACTACGGGTAATGACACATCCCCTATGTTGTACGTATTAACCTTTGAATCTCCCAAGTGCATGTAGACACGCTTTTCTGAGTTGATCGGCATTAGCCACTCTTTAGACCAGTTTATCTTATTATTTAAGTCCGCCTGAAGAGTAAATGCGTCTTTGTCTCCAGTTATTACTAGCCAAATTTTTACATCGTCAGCGTATAATAACATTGGAGACTGTACTATACTTGTAAGATCAATAACGTACATTATAAAAAGTAAAGGACCTAAGACGGAACCTTGGGGTACTCCACTAAGTACTGGTCTCCAGATGGAGCACTTGTTTTTTTTTTTTTTTTTTTTTTTTTTTTTTTTTTTTTTTTTTTTTTTTTTTTTTTTTTTTTTTTTTTTTTTTTTTTTTTTTTTTTTTTTTTTTTTTTGCCTATTAGTTGGCACCTTGTCAAAAGCCTTACTGAAGTCTATGTAGACAACATCCACTGAGTTTCCGTTGTCTAGCGCATTAATCCAGAGCTCCCTAGCTATAAGGAGGTTCGTTGTACAGGATAGACCCTTTCTAAAACCATGTTGTGCCATGTTCAGCAAGTTATTGGTTTCCATAAATGCTGTTATGGTCCGTTTGATTATTCTTTCCAGTATTTTAATTACAACACTGGTGAGGCTTACGGGTCTGTAATTTGATGGAACTTGTCGTAGACCTGTTTTATGTATGGGAGTGACGATTGCGTCCTTCCAGTCCATAGGTAACACACCTTGGTCAAGTGACATTTTGAATATCACAGTCAGTGGGGCTGCGATATATTGGGCAATATGTCTCAAGATTTTAGGGTGTAGTTCATCTGGTCCTGTTGACTTCTCCATGTTTAGGGTGCTAAGAGCCTTAAGCACATCGTTTTGGTCGAAGTCCACGGTGAGCAGCTGGTTTGTTGACTCTGTAATTGGGTCTGGTTCTTTCTCTAGAGGAGGTTCCTGAGTGAAAACTGCCCCAAAGTAGTCAGCCATAACCTCAGCTTTTTCCTGATCTTCCTCTATCATTTCAGATTCACTTCCTACTTTAATTAGGTTGGGAATCCAATGATGAATCCTTGTTCTGTAGTTTATGTACGAGAATATCCTCTTGGGCTGCTTGAGTGCAGATTCTGCCAGCTGCATTTCATATTTTCTTTGCGCTTCCCGAATTTTAGTTATACACTCGTTTCTTATCGATCTGTAGCGTTCCATCGTACCCGCTGTGCCAAGGCGGATGGCAACATCCCAGCATTTCTTCTTTTGTCTTAGTAAGCGTCGAATATCCCGCCCTATCCAGGGATGTCCGTGCTTCTTTTTCTTTGGGACAGTCCAGGGTATGTATGGTTGAGTTACCCGATTGTATAACTGCCTGAATAGAGTCCATGCCTCTTGTACTGATGCCTTTGAGTCAATTTCCCAGTTCTCAGCCGATGCTGCGGAGTTAATTGCCTGCATATCTGCCTTCCATATGTTAGGACGGGCCGGCGCAATTGTTTGACAAGCAATCTCAGCCATGAATTTGAATAAGATGACTGCATGGTCACTTCTCCCAAGTGGTGGGAGAAAAGCCGTTTGACCAACGTCATCACCGTGTGTGAAGACTAAATCTAAAAGAGAAGAGTTTCTTAAGTCGTATCTTGTGGGATCTCTAATGTGTTGGAATAATGCTAGTCCAATCGAGGTTTCTAACAGTTTGGAGTCGAACGACGATATGGATGACCCTACTTCTAAGTTAACCCAGTTTATATATGGTGCATTAAAGTCGCCTACTACAAGGCTTTTACCGTTGTTACACCAGGACTTAAGTTTACTAAGGAGAAAATCATCTGCTACACATTCTGGACTGCGATAAACTACAACTACTTCAATATCTTGCCTTCGGCATTTCAACTTACATCTCACCAGTTCACATGTCCCTGAAACATGTGCTACTGTCTCAGCTAATCTTATGGTTAGGGTACTTTTGGTGTACAAATAACCCCGCCTCCCCTTCGGTTTAATCTATCAGCCCTACTGGTTATGAAACCAGTCAATTGGATTTCACTATCTAATACTTCTGACGTTAACCAAGTTTCCGAGACAGCGATAACGTCCGGTTTTTCTTTGTCCACCACTGACTTCAGCTCCGCCATTTTATTTAGTAGGCTGCGAGCATTTGTGTAGCACACTTTTAAGTCTGTGGAGAGCTTTCCCTTGCCACCCAGAGTGGCTTGGGGATCGTTTTGCTCCGAACTTTTACAATCTGAAAACCCTTAAGAACGAGGTTTCTTTCACCGTTTCGGCGACGCTCGTTTATTTCCGCTTCTGCAGCTCTTCTCTTAATACGATCAGCTAGGCTGAGGTCCTCACGGACATATATTCCGGATCCAATCAGTTTACGTGAATTACTTAGAATCAGGTTCCTTTCTTCCACCGTGTTGAATGTAACCTTTAGGAGGCGGTTTTTCTGAGGACTTTCGGAATCCACCTTTTTTCCTATTCTATAAAGCTTACAAATACTAACTCCTGAAACTGTATCTGGGAGTAGTTTACTTAATGATGTCTTAATATGATTGAGATCATGTTCAAATCTTGCCTTTGGTTCAGTATCTGAAGATTCTCTTATCTTATGAAAAATGACTGATCTATCAGAGAGATCTGTCTTTTCACGCGGTGAGGATTTTTCTTCTGATAACATCCCTTCCAATGTCTTGCTGACCAGCTGCGTTTTGCCTACAGCCTTTTTCTTCTTATCTTTTTTCTTCTTACCGAAGTCCATTTGTCACCACTCAGAACAGCCACACCTGGACTATGTGGAACGGTGACAGTTTTATCCGGATCTTCTATTTCGACTAGAGGTGTATGACTGCCGATGTCATTATCAAGCGACACTTCATTTCTCGTTAATGTCAACGGAGATTTCACGTTCCCGTCAACCGCAGTCAGGTGTTTAATGGGTCCAGTAGCAGCACTTACTACACTGACACATTCTTCATCGTCAGTGCTCCTGTTATCAGTGCTTCCGCCATCGTTTTTCTTGCAGGCCAAAACCAATAGGCCCATAGTCTCTAGGTATATTTGTATCGTTGAATGATATTTTAAGAAATCTGGTATTCATAAAATAATTACTAAAAACATAAATCTAGACCAAAACACTTTTTGTTGTTGTATTAGTGAGGACTACTCAGGTATTGGGCATTGGATTGCAGCGCACTTTCCAGTTTTTCTGCGTTGCACGATTTAGTCAATCTTCAGTGTTACCCTCTGCCCATACTTTCATCTTGAGAAGTAACAAAGGTTGGAGGGATGATAGAACCACCGGTAAATCCGCGCAATTTTAGCGACTCCTTACATGATACTAGTCTTCAGGATGGGAAGTTTTTAAAGAGCCCAAGGGTTTTATTAAAATCATTGAAGTTGTATGTTACTCATATTTTTCATTATATCGTAATAGCTTATAGCAATCTTTGCGTTTGCAACGACGTGTGACTTCTCAACCAATGTCAAGCTAAAGTATGACTGTTGGGGTAACGGATCATCTGAGCATTGGAGTGCCAAATTTACATACCCTTTCAAGTAATCCCTCTGGTTTTTCACTTCTTTTTAGTATTGACTCCATCGTGCTGCCTCGATGCATTGCTATGGAAAGTAAACATATGTATGGGAATTTCGCCTCAGCAGCACAGTTTTATGTGTTTGTTGGTGTCCTAACTATGCTTTTCTGCGTTGCTATGGGCGTCTATTATGTCTATTTTCATGATCGCTATTTCAGTGACTCACGGTTTAGTAAATACGTAAGTTCTATACACCACTCTACATATATAATAGGAATTCATCTTCTCGACTGTCATTGTTCTGTTATGGTTTATCGCCTCTTGTGCATGGGCCGATAATGTAAACCAGTTTAAAACGTATACGTCAGCAAGTCGGATCTGCAATGAAGTGGGACCTAATGTGCATTGCCAAGCTGAGGAACAAGCTACCTATGGGGACTTAACGTTTCTCTGGTAATGATTATTCACTTTTTGTTGGTTATATATTTAACTGTTTATACAACAGTGAAGAAAAAATAGGCAAGACTCTAATTTAGCGACGACCTTTGAACGAATCTTAAATGACCTTGACAGTTATTAGCCAACCAGAAGACAGTTAGTATAAAGTGAAAATATATTGTAAGTAATGAATTACAGTGGATATTCTTCTTTTACATGATTTAAAAACTAACCCTAAACCCTAACCTCAACCCTAAACCTTAACCCTAATCTAACCCCAAACCCTAACCTTCAGTCTTCAGTAATAAGGATAGTAGGTTAATGAACCTGTATTAATCCTGACACATTGCTTTCCAGTGAAGGTCCAGCTTTTCCTTGAAAGTATTCACTGATGGGGCTGATACCACTTGTTCAGGTAAGGCGTTCCAATCATTGACTACTCGATGAGAAAAATGGGACCCCACCTTAAGTTTATTAGATCGTGGTTTATGAACCTTCTTGCTATGACCTCGGAGATTATTAGTGCTGGAGGGAGCAAAAAGATAAGACATATTAACACCCAAATCATAATTAAAGATACGAAATGCCAGTATAAGGTCACCTCGTGTCCTACGATACGACAAGGGGAAAAGATTTAGGCGTTTTAAACGCTCATTGTAAGGGAGTCTAGAAAGACCCTTCACTAATTTCGTTCCCACACGCTGGACACGCTCAAGGGAGTTAGTATCATTTACCAGACACGGGCTAGCTGCTTGGATACAGTACTCCAAATGTGGTCTAACATATATAGGATATAAAATTCGAGACGTTTCCTCGTCAAAAGATTTGAACGCTCGGCGAAGTGACCATAACCATCATGACTTAATACTACTCCTGAGTCTTTATGCTCTTGGACGCATGGAAGAGGTTTACCCTCAATAGTGTAACGGTAACTATTACCGTGACCGATGTGCATTAGTACACTCTTCCTAGCATTGATTTCTAAGCCCCACTCTCGAGCCCATCTAACTAAATCGTCTAAGTCAGCTTGAAGATCCACATGATCAGCCGCACTTTTTATTGTTCTGCAGATTTTTACATCATCCGCAAACAATAATGTCGACGACCTAAGTAACAGCGGTAACTCATTAACGTAGAGAAGGAAGAGCAGAGAGCCTAAGATGGTGCCTTGGGATACACCACTTTTGACCGGCTTCCAATCGGATAGCGTTCCGTTAACCCTCACTCTCTGTCTGCGGTCACATAAGAAATTTCCTATCCACTCATGTACAGTACCTATTATTCCGAAGCTCGTGAGCTTCTGCATAAAACCTACGTGTGAAACCTTGTCAAACGCTTTGCTAAAATCTATGAATATCACGTCGACAGACAGACTGTTACCTAGGGCTGCTGTCCAATCCTCCCTCCCAATAAACAAGTTAGTCAAGCATGAACGCTTGTTACGAAATCCGTGTTGCTCAGGAGCTAACAGATTGTGTAAATCTATGTGGCTTAGCAACCTAACCCGAATTATCTTTTCAAGTAACTTAACGACTATGCTAGTTAGACTGACAGGCCGGTAGTTAGATACTATCTGTCGCTGACCGTCCTTAAATATAGGACTAACTATAGTGTCCTTCCAATCTCTAGGGAGTTGAGCGAGTGAGAGGTACATGTTGAAGAGTGTCGCAAGCGGTTTTAAAATAACGTCCGCAAGAGATGACAGCAACAGTGGATGTAACCCGTCAGGGCCCGGTATCTTACCAGGTTTGAGGTTAGTTATCAACGGAAGGATAGTTTCCTCAGTTACCTGTACAGATCCAATGGTTGGTATCTCGGTGTGAGTGGGACAAGTATTTGTTACAGTAAACGTAGAGAAGAATTCGCTAAAATAGTCTGAAAAAGCCTCAGCTTTTGCTCGATCTGATTCAGCTAGTAATTCTGAATTTTCGTGTAACAGTAACGGGGGAATACCATCACTACGTTTCGTCCGCCGTTTAACATACGAAAACAATCGTTTTGGACAAGTATGGCTATCATATACTAACTGTCGTTCGTAAGTGGTACGGGATTTGGCTATGGTTTTCTTACAGATATTACGGAATTTTCGGTACTCACGCTTAAATGGTGCATGACCTGTCAACAAGAATAAGTCCCAGAAATGTTTCCTACGTTTTAACAGCTTCCGGGTTTCCTTATTAATCCATGGAGGGCAATTTGACAGCTTACGTGCTGACCATGGGATGAACGGCGACGTTACGGACTCGAATGTAGCCTTAAACTTATTCCATTCATCTTCGATCAACCTTAACCCTAATCTTAACCCCAAACCCTAATCCTATGGATGTTTCTATACAATATGCGCTATGAATTCAGAACTTCTGAGCCTTTATCAAACCTTAACAAGTTTTTGAATCATGTAAAAGAAGAATTTTCACTGTAATCCATTACTTTCTTGTAACATATTTTACTTTGTACTGTCTTCTGATTGACTAATAATTGAAATTGCTCAGACGCTTCTCATTGGCTCGTCCCTAAATTAAAGTTTCGCCGTCCCATCTGTTTTAACCTCTCATTAATCACCTCCTCTCTAAAATCCGCTGTGGACCGACCGTATGTTAGCATCGCGTGTTGAACTTGGCTCCGTGACCTTAAAATCGCTCAAACGCTTCTGATTGGCTCATCGCTAAATTAGTCTCGCCAAAAAATATTCTTGTTTATCAGTTTGGTATTAATATTAGTACTCACGGTTTAGTCATTTCTCTTTGCTTACTAGTTGTCTTGTTGTGGATGTAGATTCCGTTGAGCAGTTAGTGGAATTCGCTGCAAAAGATGAGTAAGGATCCTCTGTTTAGATATGATCAGGAAAACATTTTAAAAGCTGACCCGCTTAATCACAGTTCTTATTGCCAAGTTGTATGCTGAAACAAACTGGTTCTTCGGTAACTTTTTATATTTGGTGTTAAAAACTATTTTAAAAGATGTTTTGATCTTGTCTGGGTATATGCTTGGAGGTTTGCTGATTTATTCCACTTAGACTTCGTAATTTAGCTCAACTTTAAAGTACCTTCCATAAAGTCATGTGAAAACAAACTGTTTACCGAAAGTGAGTTTTTTAATGGTTGCATAGGTTGATTCCATCATTCTCTTTAACACTTTTCAATGTCGTAACAAACTTTCTTTGAAAATTTAGGATTAGGGAAGACACTTAACTCTAGATTAGTATGTTGGTGACTAAATCTTAAGGTCCAGAGAACGTTACTCATTTGTTGTTATTGTTCTGAATTATGAATTTTTCCTACTACTAAACTAAATGATTCAAACCCTTGTACCATAAAATGTTAATTGGTAGTTCAGACGGTTGTTACTCAACAAAATATATATCAAAGTGTGCAGTTGTTCAAACTGAGTAATACATGTTCCATCCATCCAAACTAGTTTTTCACGTCTGGAAATTGTCATCTGAGTAACACAAAATATTAAAAAAGCCTTTTTGGATATTGGCTATTTTCCGGTTATGGAGAGCAACATTAAAAAGCTACTTTCAAAGTCGTGAGGTCCTGTTCCTTCTGCACTCCAATTTTTCCTTTGATAAAATTTGAGTAAACCGGTATTCTTCGTTAGCCCCTTAAACTAGACAGGCATCTGATAAACAGCTGTCCACCTGTACTCGCTGGACATTGAGTATCTTGTGTAGACAACTGTTTATAAATACTATTACTGTTTTGATGATGGTTGTAGTAGTTCAATAATGTGCAAAACAAATATCAATGCGAAAAAGGCGTAATGATAATATACAAATAAGAAGACGGTAAAAATAGCAAAGTTATGTTGTGCATTGGATGAAAAACAATAACCATCATGTAATGAATGTTACTTAAAAGTTCCTTTTTGGGTAACTCACAAATGGAGTTCACTCAATTATTGAATATCATTCTACACAGTTCGTCCCGACAGAGTGAAGAGAAATATAAATCCAATAGCGTGATCAGGAAGTAATCCCGACCAACAGTCCCATCTAGTGAAGTGGTCCATAAGGGCAGTACAATACTATTATACTCTTCAGTCAAAGGCCGTGGCCAATGGACCAGGGAAGAGAGCGATGTAGTTAGTATTTGTTTGAATGCCGAAAGTGACGTAGGCATCGATTAAAACTCAACGATATCTACAACTCTTTACTGATATCAATTAATTACTAGTGAAGTCTATCCGCAATTGATAAGAATAAACAATATGCATATTACGTGCGTCCATCCGCTGACTATCTCGACAGTCAATGATGGCTGATATGGAAGTAGGTTGGGAGAAAGCTATGGGCGGCCAAATCAAGATATGGCAACAGTCCATGAAGACACTGACTATTGGAGTGGGCCATGTAAATATTTATTTATTTATTTATTTGAACACATAAATATTGGTACAAGAGAGCGCCAATATATATGCGCCACACAAAACAATGAAAATTCGAAGAGAAATAGAAAGAAAAAAAAAACTAGGGAACGCAAAAGAAAAAGAGAACAATGACGAAGAGATTGGAGTAAGGTAGTGTGGTAGTAACGACGGAACGAAAAGGTACAATCAGAAGAAATCTTTCAGGTAAAGGAGACACAACCACTTTTTAGAAAGAAAGTAAAAGAAGGTTACAGCAGGATCGCCACTGGCTTCTATTCTGAGCCATATCTGATAACGTCTCTAGCCACTGTGTAGCACCATCTCTCGGACCCCAACCAGGGAGTCGTGAAGGACCAACACAAGCCAGTCCTTTGCAGCTTTCTTTCATGCCACGACACCATGTCATGCACTGACCACCTCTCCGCCTCTTCCAACCAGTCCCAGAGTCGGCAAATAATGCACGACGTGGAATTCTCTGGGACGACATTCGGAGAACATGTCCAAGCCACCGAAGTCGGTGTTTCAAGATGGTGACACCAATTGAGTTATCATCTCTGTGCCCGAACACACGATGCCGAACCTCTGCATTACTGACATGGTGTTGCCACTGAATGTCAGCAATCCTTCGGAGACAGCGATGATCGAACACAGAGAGTCGTCTAACGTCCTCAACTCGGAGAGGCCAGGTTTCACAAGCATAGAGCAAAACTGCTCTCACCGACGCGTTGTAGATCCGACCTTTTACAGCCAGACTAACATCACGAAGGCGCCAAAGGTGGCCCAGATTGGCATAAGCCGCTCTGGCTTTCACTATTCGTGCATTGATCTCATCACTCACACCCCCACCAGCACTTATGCAGCTACCCAGATACACGAACTTCTCAACTACGTCTATCTGCTCACCGTCCAGGGTGAGTACAGGATTAGAATCCTGCCAGTCTTGTAGAAGTACTTTGCACTTCGAAGGTGCAAAGCACATACCATACCTACGGACACTGATTGCCAACTGATTAAGTGCGGATTGCATGCCTTGGGCATTATCGCACAGTAAGACAATATCGTCCGCATACTCAAGGTCGAGAAGTCTTTCTCCAGGCAACAGATCCACACCACCATTACTTACATTCATCAGAGCTGTTTCCAGAATGTCATCGATGGCAAAGTTGAAGAGGAATGGTGAGATTGGGCAACCCTGCCTAACCCCACTGCTCGAATGGAACAATGGAGAGAGGTGGTTGTATGCCCTCACTCTGCCTGAGGTGTTTTTATACAGGGCTTTTAGGATGTTAATAAACTTCTCAGGCACACCCTTCTTCAATAGACAATCCCAGAGAACAGTCCTGTCCAACGAATCGAAGGCAGCCCTGATGTCAAGAAACACTACGATTGTTGGCCTTTGAAAAGTATGGCGGTGTTCTAACATTTGGCGGAGGGTGAAGATATGATCAATACATCCTCGACCAGAACGAAACCCAGCCTGCTCCTCGCGAGTCAATCTTTCTCGGGTTTTGAACAACCTACGAAGAATGACGGAAGCCAATAGCTTGGACGCAATCGGAAGTAAACTTATCCCCCGATAGTTGTTACAAGAACGACGTGAACCCTTTTTAAAGATAGGGACAACTATCGACTCATTCCATGACGTTGGTACACACTCTAGTTCCCAAACCTTTGTAAACAACGTCGTCAATTCCTTAGTCAAAAAGTCACCACCATCTTTAAAAAGAGCCGGAGGTAAGTCATCTGGGCCAGGTGATTTGTAACGCTTCAAGAGTTGGAGTTCCTTGCGGACTTCCTCCTCATTTGGTGGATCAGTCGTCACCGGCCATGGAGGGCAGGACAGTCTGACCGATGTTGCCGGAGCAGCAGGCCAGTTGAACTGCCCTTCGAAAAATTCTGCCCATCGTCCAAGACGTCGATGGATGTTAGTGATTGGCATCCCATCATCCTCGCAGATTGTTTCACTCACACCAGACTTCTTGCTGCCAGTGGCTCGGATGAGCTGGAAGAGCTTCCGGTAGTTACCAGATGCAGCTGCTGCTTCCAGCTCATTAGCACGCATCGACCACCAGGCTTCTCGGTCCTTACGCAAGCTTTGCCCAATTTCCTTACGTAACATCCTTCGTTTATGGTCAAACTCACGGTCACCCGGAGTAGACCGACGGGCTTCAATGAGTTGTAAGGAACCAGAAGAAACCCAGTGCTTAAAGCGGGACGTTTCGCAAACCCACAACTGACTGTTCCCGCCATTTTCATGGCGTCATGCAATTGCAACCAATGCTCATCTATACTTTTCGGTGGAGTGGTAGCTAGCCTAGAGGCTAGCTCGGTTCGATACTTACTTGCAACAGAAGTTGCAACCAGCTTGCTAACATCAATCCGTTGATGGCGTTCACTTCGTTGTCCACTGAAAAGTAAGGCAAGATTGGCGCAGACCAAGGCATGGTCAGAGTCCAGATAGGTACTCCAAAAGGAGCGGCAGTCTTTTACACAACCACGCCAGCGGTAGCTGATCGCGATGTGATCAATCTGAGTCCAGGCTTGAGATGCAGAGGGAGGACGCCAGGTGGCACATCGGCGATGACTGTGCCGAAAGTTAGTGCTAGCCAGAAACAGGTTGTGGTCTGTGCAAAGTTGCAGTAGACGGTCCCCGTTATCTGACCTGCGACCAACGAGTCCCCATCGGCCACCTAAACGACTCTCTTCTGTGCCTAGACGCCCGACCTGAGCATTCAAGTCTCCGGCTAGTACTACAATATCTGTCGAACGCACTTTCTGGAGAAGAACTGATAACTGGTGGTAAAACTCATCCTTGATTGCATCCGGGCTGCAATCTGTCGGGGCATAGGCGGAGATGACGAAAAGACATCGTTTCTCACGCCGATTTCTTCTCACTTTGATGGAACTTTCTAATCTAACAGCACATAACCGACTGTTAATGGGGATCCAATCGACTAGTGCTGCCTCAGCTCTAGCGCTTAGTGCGACACCAACGCCAGCAAGACCAGACGAAGATGCCACAGGGTCCCCGGATAAGCGCACGTAAAACAAGCTTTTCGAAGCGACAGATGGAGATCGAATTTGTAGTACTTCGCCAGAGTCTTGAATACGGGTCTCGGATAGACAACACACGTCGATATTAAGACTTTCCAAAGACATAGCCAGCCCTATCTGTTGTCCGACCTGCATAAATGTGCGAACGTTGAAGGCAGCCAGTTTGAATGGTGCACGTGGTTTCAGAAAATCTGCTTCAGTCCTCGTATTCGGTGGTAACATACAATTTTCAACCGGACAGTGACTCGAGAACGTATAGATACAGTCGGATTTCCGCCAAAGACGAGCCGCTGTATAAGTATAAAAGAGGGTGAGTAATGTGGAAAATAATAATAATAATGATAATAATAACAATAATGACAATAATACTAGTAATAATAATAACAGTATTAATAATGACAATAATTGTAATGATAATAATCTGAATCAATTGTTTGTTTTTCAAAGCAAGAAAGGTAATTTCCGTAGGCATAAAGAGTTCATCAATTTGCGAACTCCTTGGTTGAGGTCCGTACGATTATCATAACCAGTAGTTGAAGACAGGTGACGTGGCTCAAAATTGGTTACAGTAGTACAGATGCACTTTCTCTTCCCTCAGGTTTTATGTTTTAAAACTATCATACGTTGCCCGCAAAGTCATCCCTTTTTCCTCGAATCTCTTAGTTCTTTAAACTATTATCACTCTCACTATTCTTCGGTTTGCCTTGACTATTTCATCTCTCAGTGCTAATAGAGTACAACAATTAGAACCGTCGCACAAATGTTCCAGGTTATGCGCTGCGTATAATTGACTGAGATGGTAGTACCCATAATATGCCGCGTAAGTACGGTTTTCATATGTGAAATAAGGAATACTCAAATGCAAGAATATCGCTTGAGGCCATCTTAATGATTTCAAATCCGGAACCAAAATTGTTTCAAGGTGATACATGATAGATTAATCCTTAACACTCATGTTGGGTGAACGGGATGATTCATCTTTACGACTAGGTTTTCATTGGCGAGTTATTTATGGATCTTGGTTTTTGGACTTCTAAATAAGTCATTATATAAGGCCTAATGCCTCTGCTTTACACAAATTTTAATCTTTGTATCTGAATTATACCAACCAATGAAGATCTACTTTGTAACTTTAATAATTCAGTATGTTTTTGTTAATTTATATAAATTAGATATTTGGGTTTACCAATGTTGCTTTATGGGCAGCTGGTTTATGGTTCATATGGAAAGAAACTCCATGGTCCGGAAATAATTCTCTACTTGGACCAGAAAATATCGCTACTGCTGCCGATGGGTCTCAAATGTAGTGCGCACTCCAACAAGTCTCCATGTACTGTTCTTTCAAGAATTAGATCAACTACATTATTTTGTGTGAGGATAATGAGACAAACTCACTTGTAAATCACTCATTTATCAGTTGTTATTTCTATCCATATGTTTTCCCATTTAAATCGAAGCTAACAAACGAAATAGTGCATTTTGTTTGTTTCATTACTATAAGATTACTGCTTCCATTCATAAATTGTTCATGACTATGTCGATAATTATGTTACGGCACCAGTGTTTTTGAACTGAACATTTTCTTAGGTCAAATTTCATTTTCTATCATATCATTCTTTCTAAATACATTATTCAGGTAACATTGTCCCACTTTTTTGCCATGTCTTCATTTTGTTAAATGTGATGATAATTTTGTTGTTGTAATCGCTAATCAATCACATACATCGTTTGTATATCATAATAAATCAAACACAATTCAGATTATACTTCTGTATGTTGTAAAGCTAGTTGTAGGGTAACTCTGTATGTAGCTCTTCTCGGTTTAATATCGGTCCCAAGGTCGGGTGAGGTAGGAGGTTTGGGCATGGGGTCAGCAACCCCATCCCGTAGAAAAAATCTTGCTAAAAAAACGCTAACCAGAATAAATAACTTAAACTATTTAAGCTCTGACATGGGAGTTGAAGGATCTTCATTCAGGTGAAAGCTGAGATTCTTCGGAAGTCACGAGGCGGATGCCCTTTCTAGCAATCAGAGCAACAATTAATATAGGTACACAGAATGTCCGAACAATGTAGAAGACCGGAAGGACTAGTCAAGTAGCAACGGAAATGAGAAAATACAACTTGGTGGTGCTTGGAATAAGTGAAACACAGTGGACCCAAGCTGGACTGTAAAGGCTAGATACCGGTCATTAAGAAGAAAATGCTCCATATACTCAGCGTATTGCTCCGATGCTGACCAAAGAAACACGAAATGCACTTAGAGAATGGAAGTCTCATGGACTCAGTATCGTGAAAGCATCTTTCAAAGCAAAGAAGAAGGGAATCACGATTAATGTTGTCCAGTTTTATGCACTCACCAATGATAGCCACGATGACATTAAAGACCAGTTCTATGTGAGCCTGCAATCAATCATAGCGAAGTTCCCCCGAAAAAACATCTGATCATCCTGATGGTAGACCTAGACGCCAAAGTCGGAATGGACAACACCGGTTATGAAGATATCATGGGACGATATGGACTGACTGGGAGTAAGAATTGAGAATGACGAGAGATTTACTTGTCCTCAGCAAAATGGTTATAGTTGGCACTGTATTACCCCATAAACACACAAGCTGCATACGTCTCACAGGGTCACACCATTGAGAACCAGATCGACCATATCTGTATCATTAAAAAATTCAGCTGGTCGATGGAAGACGTGAGAACTAGGGGCGGAGTTGACATGGCTCCAGATCACAACCTGTTGGTTGCCAAGATGAAACTGAAGCTAGAGAAACGTTGGACATTGTAGGAATAGCATTTCAGCCTTTCTTCGAGATACTGACAAACTCAACCAATTCAAGACAGCTCTCAACAACAGTTTGCAAGCCTTACAAGATCTGCTGAGAGAAGAGAGAACTAGTGTCGAGAACAACTGGAGAGGGATTAAAGAAGCGCTGGATTCAACGTGTTAGGAGGTGCTTGTCACAAGAAGTATCATCATAAGTAATGGATCTCTACGGAAACCCTGGATAAGATTCAAGATGGAAAGAACAAGAAGATAGCGATTAACAACAGCCGAACCCGAACATAGCAAGTCAAGGCGCAGTTCGGATACACAGAAGTAAACGAGCGGGTGAAGAAGAGCACTGTAGCCGACAGGCAGAAATTCTCGGAAGAGTTAGCAACAACAGTGTCGAAAGCTGCAAGAGAAGGAAATATGAAACAGCTATATGACAACGAAGAAACTAGCGGGAAATATGGTAAACCAGTACGACCAGTCAAGTACAAAATTGGCAGGACCACTACTAAGATTCAAGAACAGAGGAGCAGATGCGTGGAGCAGTTTGAGGAACTCTTGAATAGGCCATCTCCACTAAATCCACCGGACATCAAAGCAGCACCTACAGACATTACGGCCATCAGGACAGTGAAGAGTGGGAAAGCAACAGTACCTGAAAATATTCCAGTTGAAGTCAGACTTAGAAGTAACTGCAAACATGCTTCACGTTCTATTCAAGAAGGTTTGGAAGGAAGAACAAGTGCTGACAGATTAGAAGGAAGGAAACCTCATCAAAAATCAAAGAAAGAAGGTTTGTGCAAGTCTGGGAACTACAGGGGCATCATACTACTGTACTGACAACATATGAATCGATAAGAGGTTCAATTGTTACACTCAGTACGTTGTCTTACTGAGATATGGGGATGTCAAAGGACAACACTTGGTCTGTGACCATAGACGTTTATTGTTTGCCAAAAGTACAACTATAGACATTTTTATACAACCCAGAAATACCATAGGAAGTGATTGAATGGTTTTTGCTGATATTTCCAGCGGTAAAATAAACCGTTCAATCTAATTATTCTAATTACATTACAGTATAGGTTGAAATACGTAGTAGGCAAACCCCTATCTCATAAACTAGCAACCCAGAATCTTGATTTATAATGCATTTTGACTAAACTGTTTAGTTTGTGACCTATCCTCTATAAGAATAGACTAACTTAACTAATCTATCTACTAATAATCGTTAAAATTTCGAAGGTAAGTCTCATCACTAACCAACGTTAACTGAATAACCATTGAAAGCCGGGACTCAATTTTACCATTGTTTTTTCCGTTGTACCAACCGAGAATCATTTAGTTGTACAATAGGCATGAGACCATTGAGCTGTCAAGTCATAATTCAATGATTCAAATTTTGCAGTTTCAGCCAGTTTGCAATCTTCATCCTACTACCACTAGTAAGTTGCTATGTTGATTGGTCTCAGACCATAACTTTGAACTTTGGAAAGTCCATTTTGAAACTAGTCATTAAGATTAGAAATCCACTCTAAAGTAATATCCATTTATCACAAATATCGATCTTTAATTTTATTGGCCCATTATGCACTAACCTTAGTTTATATATTTTTCATTACTGGTAGTTTATTTTCAGTGTAGATTGTTACATATCTTCTATATCATTAGTAATAAACCTTTCCAACTTCTCTACTGTATATTTTGTACATGATCGACTGACCACACAAATTTGCACTTCCTTAAACCTCTAACAAAAACACTAGAAGGTCTGATAAAAGCCGTCAATAAAACTTTCTATCCTCTAATTCATAATTCATGGGTTTATACATGCATGATACTAAACTATAATATATTCTAATTTATAAATCTCTATAAGTATCTACAACTAAGTTATTTTTACTACAGAGTTGAATAACACATGGTTAATTGAATTTTACCTTATATCGATAGCGTAAATAACGGTGATTAACAAGTTACATAATAGCTTGTAATTGAGATCAGATAAAAGGGTTAGTCGCAGTCACAATAGCTTATTGATAACGAGTCGTACTATACAATCTGGTGACCCAAGTTCGAATCCCGTAGGGTGCAATAGTTCCCTCAGAATTGCAGACACACCTTGCTAACGAGTATTAACTGGTACCATACTTAAATCCAAAAGCCCCTACCAGCAACTTCCATATGTCTAACTATGTATAAATACTACGGAGTGATTTGCTCATATATACTCCCGAATAATGTTCAAATCAACTCGGTAAACATTCGGGACCAATGTTCTACATTTCTCTTTCCTTAATGTTTCTCAACACAGGTAATCCCGTGACTCAATAAAATGCAATGATTCCTTCCTTTTGAAGAATATTAAAGTTTGTTGAAAAGTCCGAAAAATGATCATAATATTGCTGTTTTCGATAATAGCGATGAATCTAACCAGGATACAACTGCCTTTTTTATCCTCGACTATTCTGAAATAAAAATTGACCGATGTTCATAGTTTGGGTTGCGGTTGATCCCTTGTAATGGGGTCCTGAACGTACACTTCTGAGAAGTCCCATTTCATAACAAGACAGATGTCCAGTGATTCCTGGTTTTCGATGGTAATCTAGTTAAAATTAGTTCGGAATTTAAACTTTAAAAACTCTATAATCTCCATAACCCGCTCGCTATACCAACACATTGTAAATGCTTAAATTTATTAGAAAATATATCAAAACCATTATTTTTACGACTTAGTTTTGAAGGGGACGAAATAGCTAATAAGACATCCTAGACTAAGTGCTCCTTTGAAAATGACGTATTGAACTGCGAAATTTGTGATTGAAACAAACTAAAGTAGATAAACTTCCACTTTTATTACCTCCAGTTGTGTTTGCCAGTTTACATGTTAGTGACAAAGCATTTACATCAGAAAAACAAGAAAAGAGGTTCTTGTTCGCATCTGAGAGCACAATCCACAACTAAAGTCAAAAATGATATGACGATGAAAAATCAAAATTAGGTTGATTTACTTGTAGTGACCTACTTTTATCAAGAGAACACGATTGGATTAATGAAAACAATTATTATTATAACCAATTGTACCAGTGATTGTCTTACTGTACTTGTTTGTTCAACTGTATTAAAGACATCCATTATTCTTCCATTCTTGCTTCCGTTGATTGTGACCTTGCACGAACTTACGTTTGCCCAGTGATTCCGCTTGTACTCCTTTTGGCACGATCTCGGTATTCTTTCAATACCACGGGATCGCCAACAAATATATATCGCTACAACTTCCAATCGCCTTCTGATATCTGGTACGCAACCTTCTTGTAGTGGTGATTATAGTCAACCGCGACTCGACGCCACACTACATACTCATTATGAATTTTGTTCAACATTATTTACGTTTTAATTCATTGTGATAATTACTCAGTGTAGTATTTGTTTTGTTTTCCTGTATGATATTTTATTCTGTATAGCATACGATATTTTTGTATTAAATTAACATGAACTAGGCTCAGCGTGACATGTAGCATGTGATTTGTCATATATTTGATTTCATCCTAATCAATAATCAAAATGGGTGTACGAATCAATATATAAAAAAGTGTATTTTCGGCTAGAATCGTCGTCGTCATGTTTCGGAGTTAATAAATCTTCATTTGTACCAGTCTTTGTGTTCTTACTTTCGCGTCGTAGGAATCGCAGTGGTTCCTCACTTTATAAGTATGAGTGATAAGCGATTCTGACACAAAAATCAGCGAAGACCAGATAAAACGAATTAACGTTCAATCGAGAAGATTTCTCAAAAAAATCAACGTATTTTCAACAGAGCAATTACCTGTCATCTACTTAGTACTTGACATAATGTTAATGTTTCAAAAATAGTTCGGAACAGCCAATAATCAGATAATGTGGAATTTAGTAAGTTAGGCTGAAACTATCTCTATTAAAAGATTGAAACTGAACCTCTATTTTCAAAGGACAATGAAGTTGTAAGTCTCACACTATCATGTTAAATTCTAATTTTCACTATTTAATTACGTAATATCTAATTTCATATTTTCAATGATGAACTCTTTTCTTTCATTTTTGGGTCAGTTTTTAAGGCTTAATTCATCGTACTCTGTTCATTTCATTCGACATTATAATTGATTGTTATTGCGTAATAATGATATTCATTTCTATTCTCTAGAAATATGTTTTCATATGTGTTTTAAATTTTTTTTCTTTCTAGAAATTTCTCATTTAGTAACATACAAATATCCATCTATTTTAACATTTTATAATTTTATGAATCTTCATTTATATAATTTAAAGTATGTACATTGACTGTAAATCATTATTACCATTATTTCTAGGTTGTAAACAGTTGATGACAAACTATAAATGAAATGAATCAATGTTTTTGCACTTGCTTTAGTTAAGTATTATTTCAATAGTTGAATTCATGAGTCGATTTGAGCTAGACCACCATAAAAATCCTGGAAGCACTGGATTGCCGTTTCATCCCATTATGGGACTCCTCAACCGGGTCTGTTGTGAAATAGTAACTCACTTAAGACAATGGTGGACGGTGGCTCAAGTTTGTGGATTGGTCGAAGCTAAACATTAACACCGTTGGATACCGGATCAATGGTCTAGACGTTAAGCATTTGTGAGCAAGACTGATATGTCCTAGGTTCAAATCTCGCGATGCAGGATTGTGGATGCACACTACTGAGGAGTCCCATACTAGGATGAAACGGCCGTCCAGTGCTTCCAGGTTTTCCATGCTTTTCTAGCTTCAATTGACTTATGAATTCAATTTATCTGAAGTACATGAAGATAATATTTCTATGATACTAATTCTATCAATTTCTCAATATTACAAAATATATGTATATGAGCTTGTTAGTTCAGTGGTCTAAAATTGTTTTTGAGAAATAATTACAAAGAATAGATTTTAAATACGAAAAACAAATTGAGAAGTTGAAATTGAATTAAGTAAATTCATAGTATCGTTTCTGGTGTCTTCTCTACTTTTTTGTTTGACTAATCATAATTCTTTTTCTCCAATACAACATAAACTTATTTATAGCTGTCATCAAGTTGACAGGGTAACTATGAGCTGTTTACCGGAGCTAATAATATTTGTACACTATTGGGTCCCGGTCGAGTAGTCTAGAGGTTGAGTGTTTGTATGCAAGACTGAGAACCCTTAGTTTAACTCCCGGCTCGGGGTCATAAATGTTCACTGTCGAGAAGTCCCGTACTAGAAAGAAACGGGTGTCTGATGCTCCCAGGTTTTTAATGGTGTGATTTAAAATCTATTATTAGTACCCACTGAAATATTAATTTCCCGACGAGGTGCATATAAGGTTGTTTAAACTCCTGTTTTGTTCACAATACACGTCAGAATGTAAAAGTATTCGATACTGTTATTAAGTTTTTATAAATTCTTTAGAGAGGATAGAATGAGGATATTCATATCACTACTTTTAATGGATAGTAGCGACTAATTTGCTAAACCTGAAACTAATTAAATAGTCTGATTCACTAACCTTCTAGTACTCCAATAACATTTGGTAATTCACCATTTTTTTTATTAATCTTAGATGCTTTCCTGACTTTCGGACAACAACTCATTTTGTCATTAAACCACGCCCATTTTTCGATTTATTGTCGCTATTACTATTATTATTATTATTGTCATTATTATTACTCTATCGATCTGTCATATTAGTAATGGCTTTCCTTAACCCACTCATTAACGTGACTTAGATAGATTTTTTACCATGTCATACGTATTTATCATAGTTCTAGTTTGTTCCTATTTTAAATTGAAGTATATTACCATTCCACATGCAGAATCCAATTCTCTATAATTAAAACGTCTAAACTAACAGTTTTTAGAATATTATTCTGATTATTATTGCCTTTCGTTTTTCCAACATTGTTGTCGTGTTTGTTATTGTTTATCTGTCGCTACTAATCGTAGTTAGGTCTCACTCG